ATAGGTCTCAGTTCACTTGGAGCATGGGAAGAGTTTTGCATTCAACATTTAACAGAAAAGTCCCATTGTAGCCACTTCCTGGAACGGTCACTTTCGATGCAGCCCTCGGAGGCCTCTGTCTAATTCTGCTGGCCTAATCCTCCAAGACCTTGGAGCTGGAAAAAGTTGGGGGTGGGGGCACCTATCCGTGTGGTCACCCAGAGTCATGCTCAACTCAAAGGAGACCTTCCTTTTGCCCAGCTCAGCTGGCAGCCCTTGGCCACCAGTACTTGGATGAGAGACCACGAGAAAATCTCTGGGCTGAAGGATCGATTAAGAAGCTGAAAAATATCCCAGAGGATAGCAACAGCAAAACACTTCATGTTGTTGCCGAGAAACGCACAGGGAGGGGATCCCAAAAGTCAAGATGGCAGCTACGGCCATGAGGTCAGAGCCCTGCCCTTAGGATTTCACAAGAGGCTATGTCTGGGGAAAAAAAACATTGCTGTGGTAGGGATTTTACACACCGCCGCTCAGCTTTGCTGTTGTTGGAAACGCTGTAAAAGAGGGATTGTGTAGGTTAGAAGTGACTTGTATTGTGAAGTTTCTGCATTTTTTGTGATTTTTATGCAGGGCCTGAACATTCTTTCCAGGGTTGCTCCAGTGTAAATAGGATGAGCGAGGCTGTTCTGGACACCCCGGAAGAGGAATGCCTTGGGGCAGCGATGCCCAGGGGGCATTCTTCCTTCTGGCCCACAGGACGGGAGGAAAGCACATGTCTTTGGTGTGGGGTGGGTATAGGAGGTGATGGGAAGAAGGCAGGGGAGTTCAGCTGGTTGGGCAGAGGCCACCCAGCCCAGCCGTGGGGGCTGTGGGGAGGAAACATCTCTCCTGGATGAAATGGCTCCACTTTAATTGGCTTGTGCTAACTCTGCCCGGGAATTGGCTCTTCCCGTTTTTAAGATCAGGCTTTGAACCATCCTGACTACCATCCAAGACGCCTTTCTTTAAATCTGCATGGTTCTCGCTTCTCCTGAGCTTGCAAGCTACGTAGGGCTTGCTAGTGGGAGAGCTCTTTATCATCCTGCTGAGCTCTTCCTCTCGTCACGCAGCCCCGGGGAAAAGAGGAGAACTCACATTCGGATGTGCAGATACTCTCCGTCTGCCCAGCGCCAGGTGTTCCGAGACAGGTTGAAGATCAGACCGATCCACGTCTTCTCAGGGACATGGTTGTGGTCTTTTACGGTGTACCATTTACGGGACTCCCGGAGCATGAACTCCTGTGAGGAAGACCCCAGTTTGATTCTGGCCACAGCTCTGGGACTTCAGGAAGGAGGGAGCTGGGTGCCACCGGAGGACGCAACTCCAGCAGATGGACGTTCAAGGGACAGAGGTCACTGTGCCCATCTGCAGCATTCACCCACTCAGCGCCCGGCAATGAAAGCTGCTGTGGGGGGAGAGGAGCGCCAGCTCCCATAGAGAAATGGGGTCGTCATACTGAGAAGCAACAGGACCCAGAATGCAGCCACGGGGGACAGAAATGGGGGGCCGGGGGGACGCGCTGCCTCGCCAACTGCTTCTGGGCTTTTTAGAGGCTTCTGGCTAGCAAGCCAGCTGTTGTCTCTCTAGCCAGAGCTGTGTTATTACTCCGGCAGTCTAATAGACGAGCGGCTCGTTTTAGAGCAGAGTCCAAGATTTGTGCAACGGGCAAATAGGGTTAAGGCAGTTCTTGCTCTTTGGAGGCAGGGAAATCATAGAACGAGGCACCCTCCCCTATATTATTATTTATCGTTGTTTACGGATATTAAAAAGAGGGGGGGGAAGGAGAAACTGAAAATGGTACTTGGAAAAATAGATAACTTCTCCCTTCTTTATACTCCGAGTGATTTGTGGTATTTATAAACATTTAGACCCCTTAGAAACCATATTATAAGCATTTGTATTTGCCTTATTGTGTGATATCTTGTATATAGGGAAGCCATTCTTGCTTGAATTTAGTTAAATGCTGTTAATTTTGTCATCGCTGCATATTCTCCAAGTTTAAGTTCCCAGTCAGATGTCATCAGTGCTGAATCTTCCAATACGGGGCAAAGTTTGTTTTTACAGCCATGAGCATTTATTTCAACAAGTTGGGATAAACCTCAGTATTAAGTTCAGGATAGAAATCCTTATTATATTGGAAAATAATTCAGTGAATTTTGCATAGTCTATCAAGGCCACCTTTAGCTTTCATTGTGCAATTTAGGCAGCCTCATGTTCATTAACATCTCAGAATTATAGTTAACATTGCCATAAAAGTTTTTTTCTTCTTATCTTTACTGGCCTGGAAAGATGAGGGGAGCTCAGTGTGTTCATCGGTCTGGGGTGCCTTAATTCTGACCCTTGACGGGGGCTGGAGACATGGCCTCATGGGCCCCTCCCAACCTGCTTTGCGGCGTGTTGGTACAAAATACGCTTCCTTCTTTTTTATTGTGTTCAAGTGTGACTCCAAAGTCTACCTTCCCATCTTTGGAACTGGATTTCTTCCGTGGTTCGTTTACTGGATATGTCAAAGCCGCCCAACTCCAAAAAAGACTCTGGGGGGGCCTACATTTTGAAAAATCTGCTGCAGCTTAATTGAAGAACAATTTGGTTTCCTTTCCTGACATAGGAACATGCAGCCCCCACCCCCAGTTCCAAATGCAGCAGTTGCAAGAATTCTCACCATTTCCGCATCTGTGCTGCTCTTTAAAAGTCTGGCTCCGTATTTCTTGCATTTCCTGATGCAGTTTTTCCAGGGCATCAACAACGTCGTGCGCTGGTAGCAGGCCCCTCCCCGTTGCAGCCAGGTGTAGTCCCAGCAGAGTTTACAATGCACACCTGGAGAGAGAGAGAGAGAGAGAGAGAGAGCTCATCCAGTTCTTCTCCCTTTGCAACCCACCTTTTCAGGACTGGGGTGGAGGAAGGCTGAGTGGAGGATTTGTAGATCCTGACTCTGTTACTCCCTGTGGGTTTCCCATTAGCTGGCTTCATAGAGGGCCCCTTGATTTGTTTTCACTGTGGGCTGTTGGCTAAGCCACAATAGCTGGGTTTGTTCAACACAGTATGCACAAACCAGGGAGCCACAGGATGTCTCTGTGGCTGAACCCTTGGACAATGGCTGGTTTCCTTCTTGCTGCTACCCAGGGGACCAACACGCCTGGCATTTTTTGCTGTCCCCCCACATTGGCGCCTTTTCTCCAGCCTTCCGAACCTTCCTTCCCTGTACGAGTGTGAAAGCAGCTTTTCCCCACTTACACGGAGGTCATCCAAGAACCCCCTTGCATCTGTTCATCTTTAGGGGGAAGCCTGGGGATTGCAGGATCTAGGAACAGAAGCAGTGGGGTGGGGTGGGGAATCAGCAAGGGGGCAGCACGTTTCCTGTGGGTCGAACTTTCTGCTGACTTAAAGGGGGATGGAGTAGTGAAGAAAGCTTCATTATCAATTTCCACCTGGCAGGCTGATGGGAGCTGGTCAGGACAGGCTGAAGACTTCCTATGGTAGCAATTCAGCTGGATTTTGCCACCCAAGTTCAAACAGTTTTGCCATATTCTAATTACAAAGGACAAAACTTGTCAGAGAGCCCTGCTACTCAATGGCAATAAAAAAAATCAGGAGGAGTTGGGAAGCACCTTTTCTGACGAACAACTTTTATTTAAAGGCATCATCTTTAAGCTGATACCTTTAAATAAAAGTTGTTCGTCGGAAAAGGTGCTACCCGACTCCTCCTGATTTTTGCAAGTAATGTAGTGATTATATATATTGTGTATACACACACACACATACTATATATATATACAGTTCCTTATTATGAGTCTAGCCCCCTCTATAGTATGCATCGGATGAGGAAGCTTTGCCCATGAAAGCTGATCCCTTTAAATAAAATTTATTTAGTCATAAAAGGAGCTATTAGTTCTCTTCTGAAAAGGCACATGACTGTATTTTCTACTTAAAGGTTTAAGCTGCAAAGAGGGAAAACCTGTTTTTTTTTGTTTTTGGAGGAGGGGAGAGAAGCAAGTATGGGAGAGAAGCGGTCATGGGAACTCACCCAGGTCTCCTGCCTCCAGCTTTATAGCGTCATTCAGCCTTTTCTCCCACATCCTCATCTGGGGAATTTTTTCATATAGTTTGTGAGACTTCCACATATCTGAAATCAGCAAGGAACAAACAAGAGGCATTTGTGCAGAAGAAGGTTCTCCCCAGCCTTTCTTGGGATGGCGGGGACCAGAGGTCACTCCCACCGACCTGCACATCTCAGGCCAGAAGGTGAGTCCTGGAGCTCCCCACCCAGCCACCCATCTGGCCCAGGGAATCTCAGCCTCACATTCTGAGGCTGGTCTGAATGGGACGACGGCACTTTGGGCAAACTCAGCCTGGGAGCAGAGGAGAAAAAGAAGCTACTTTGGTCCCAGTGCTAGCGCCATGGGGGAGCCCAGCAGATCAGGTGGCAGAAAGGGGCCATGGGACACTGCCACCACCACCACGGCCCTTGGAAGCTACCACCTCTGGCTTAGCTACTAGTTCATCCTTCTAGCCCAGACCAAGCAGCTTTCAAACAGCTTTTCAAGTCCTGTCCGTTTGTCCGCGAGTCCAACTCTTTCTTTGGCTGAACTGACTCGCTTCCCTTGTCCTGGCTGTGGCCGAGGCTAGTCAGATGCCCATCGCCATGTAGGGGAGTCACCCTTACACCCCGATACTGTATGGAGACTCATGGAAACACACTCCAGTCCAGCTTGTCTGCTGTGATGATTATGACCCCAGATGGAAGAGCTGGTGGTCCTTTTTTGGTCAAGTACAGCCTTGGTGCCCTCCAGAGATGTTGGACAGCCCCCCACCCCCACCCCAAATCCAAGCAGACAAGGATTATGGGGGTGATTGCTCAATCCCTCTGGAGGACCCCAGGCCATTCAAGCTTCAGAGGGACCACCAGGGACCTGAGGAGGTCCAGCAGGTGGGTTGGAAGGCCGGGAGAAACACAAAGACTTACAGAGGCCGAGGAGACTCATCAGCACGGAGAACAAGATCAGAGCGGTCACCACCAAGACTATCGCAAGGAACTGTCCCCAGCTGCTTATGCCACAGGACGCTGATGCAGAACAGAAACAGATGCCTTTGTCTGACGCATGCATGTGCCGCCTGCTCGTAAGTGGTAAGTGTTTACATTTGGACAGGGGGCAACGCAAGGCTATTTCTGGTCCTTGGAGACTACCAGAATTGCTGGTCCGGCTTCTGATCTCTTCTCCACTCGTCTGTCATGACGTGCAGAAAAGATAATGCTCCAGCTTGGGCTAAGCATGGCTCTCCGAGCAGCCTGCCCCACATCCGTGTTTCCCCTTCTCAGGGGTGCTTCGGCTGTGCTTTAAGCACAGAAAAAGGGGTGCAGCTAACACAGGACCTGCCTGACAATCCTCTGACAGTCATGTTGCAAGCAGCCACCAAATGATCCAGAAAAAAAATGCACTTCTGCCACGCGCATCTGCTTTGGAACCGCGCGCCTTCGTGTGCATTTCTCCCTGAATCTGATCGCCATGTTGCCACTTGCAGGCAGAAGGAGGTAAAGGCCCTGCGAAATTTCAATATTGTAATGGACAAGTGGTTGGCGCAACCATTCTGGTTGAATCGTAAGACCCGTCTAGTCTTACGTTGGCTTGAAGGGCAACGTCCCGGACCGTTGTTTGAAAGCACCTCTGGCATTTTCAAAAGCTAATGAGCAGAGGCTCTCCAAAACCCAATGAATGGATTTTGTCAATAGCCTTCTTAAGCCGGGTTGGTTTAAAGTGGTCCTTCAGAACCACAGAGACCAAACCTTTGGGGAAGAAAATTAATTTTAACCAAAAATTGATGAGTAGCAACCAAGCTCTAGCACGCGCAGAAATCAAACCCATCTCCAGACTACTGGTGGTATTCTTATGACATTTTGGGACTGCAAGAATAGCTCTAATATTTTTAATCAATTAGTATTATTAATTATTAATAAACTCACAAATTGGAATAAATCAAATGTCTTGTCAATCAGCAATAAGGGCTGTATCAATATGTGTAAAAAAAAATGGCTTTCCTTTTTCGTCCTGATTCTATTAAATATTTGGGTAAAATTAATCCCCTTAGGTAGCTATCCCTCCAGGTAGTTTTGAATTTGTATTACAAATCAGATAATAATTATATTAACAGATGGCAGAAAATATCCATGAGTTTATGGAGAAGAATAAATACTGCAAAAATGAAGGTAACTTCACAATTGGTATATCGTTTTACAAGGATCTCTGTAACAATTCCGCTCCAGTAAATTCACGATTAATTATTTGCAGGAATGGTCAGGCTCGAATGCTCCCTTTTTCAAAGCTGTGACTTTCACAGGGATGTGGGGATTTTTCGGTTCTATAGTGGAGCGTATTGTTGGGGCCAGGAAGTTCCCATAGCAGGGAGTATGAATGAAAATCTTTGGTTCATGTTTAATTGGATTTTAACTGGAATTGTTTGTCCTGTTCTTTGGGGCTGCCGTATTGGCCAGCCACATAAATGGAATATCTAAATAAATAAGCCAATCTCTATTTTTGGCTGGAAGAAATTGGACATGTGCAATTATGGCCTGCATGGACGAGCTCTTTCTTAGATTCGGATGATGCCGAGTAAGGAATTACGATTTGATTCTTGCTTGCGTGAGAAATTGGCCCTTAGGGGTGATCCCTATTGAAGAATGGCGGATAAGACCCCTTTTCTTCTGTTCTGGACGAAAACGGGATTATTTCATTCACATTACATGTTTTTTGTTTTTTTACTCATTCTGCAGCAGTCATAAATGCAAAATGTATGAAACTAATTTAAATTAAATTCAAAATGGACTCCATTTTGAAAACAAGATGAAGCCTGATAGATACACTTCTTCAGGCCTAGACCATAAGAAGTACCAAAGAGTGAACAGGCCAGCTTGCCTAACCACCTTTAATCATATTGGCTTGTTGCTGTTATGATGGTGATTAGGATCGTCCTGTCATTTCAGTGAAGGACTCAGAGCAGCGTTTCTCAACCTTGGCCACTTTAAGCCGTGTGGACTTCAACTCCCAGAATTCCCCAGTTGTTGAAGTTGAAAAACATTAATCTAGAAATCACCAATTTGGGAAAGAACACTTTT